GGCGAATGGACAGTAAACTGTGGTACATTCAATGGAATATTTTTAAAATTTATTTTATTGAAATATAGTTGATTTACAATATTGTGTTAGTTTCTACTGTATAGCAAAGTGATTCAGATATATGTGTGTCTATATTAATATATACTTTTTCATATTCTCTTCTATTATGGTTTACCACAGGATATTGAATATAGTTCCTGCTGCTATACAGTAGGACCTTGTTGTTTACCTATTCTATATATATTAGTTTGCATCTGCTAATCCCAAAATCCCAATCCATTGTTCCCCCACCCTCCTCTCCCTTGATGATAATAAGTCTGTTCTCTATGTCTGTGTGTCTGTTTCTGTTTCATGGATAAGTTCCTTCGTGTCATAGTTTAGATTCTACATATAAATGATATCACATGGTATTCAGACAATGGAATACTGTTCAGTGCTAAAAACAAATGAGCTATCAAGTGAAAAATATGTGGAGGAGCCTTAAATGAATATTACTAATTGAAAGAAGCCAATTGAAAAAGCTGTATACTATATGATTCCAAGTATACAACATTCTGGAAAAGGAAAAACTATGAAGTAAAACAAAAAATCAGGTATTGTCAGGTACTGGAGGGAGGGAGGAATGAATAGGTGTAACAGACTCTTTAGAGCAGTGAAACTATTCTGTATGATGCTATCATGGTGGATATGTGTCATTATACATTTGTCAAGTTGCATAGAATGTATAACACAAGAGTGAACCCTGGGGACTTCCCTGGTGGTCCAGTGGCTAAGATTCTGCCCATGCTTCCAATGCAGGGGGCCCGGGTTTGATCCCTAGACAGGGAACTAGGTCCTACATGCAGCAACTAAAAAAAGTACCATATGCCACAACTAAGACCTGGCACAGCCAAATAAACAAATATTTTTTAAAAAAGGGTGAGCCTTAATGTAAACTATGGGTTCTGAGTGATAATGATGTGTCGATATTATCAATTGTAACAAATGGATCACTGCGGGGCTGGCATTCTAGTAGTGGAGGAGGATGTGCATATACAAGAGCAGGGGGTATATGGGAACTGTACTTGATGCTCAGTTTTGCTGTGCATCTAAAATTGCTCTGAAAAAGGCTATTTAGAAGGAAACAATTTTAATAGATATACAGTAAAATGCAGGTTCATATTGACCTTCCTGGTTAGCATCTTTAACCTCTATTTTAAAAATACTGACAATATTTTCACATTAGGAGATTATTACTTAAAGATATTTTCCATAAGCAATTTTTATATAAAATTAAATAACCCAGGTGAGTGGAGGAACAAAATCTTCTTGAAAAGAATTTGTTACAAGAGTCCAATTTTGTAAGCAAACTTTCTATTTAGTATTGTTGCATGTTGTCGTATCTACATATTAGGTAGAGAAAATCGCTAAACCAGCCTGAGCAGTTCTGTTTAACTGTAAACTATTTTGCATGTTGTTACTAAATGATCACATATAAATCAGGTTAAGTCTAACTCAGCCCCAAATACAGAATCTTGGCAACAAAATTCAGGTAAGAGACTCTTCTACAGAGTGGCCCATGGGAGAGAATAAGAACATGGTTTTTAAGAAAATCCCTAGGCACAGTTGAAAAATGATGATTATTTTCAGGTGATTATACCATTATCTTTAACAAATATGCTTCTGTGTTGAAAGATTCAGTTTTACTGTTGATTAAATCATCTGGAGGAGTAGAAAGGATTTAGGGGATTGAAAGTCAGGAGACCTAGGTTCTGACCTCTGACCTCATAACTGCAACAATCTGTGAGGGATTGGATGAGAAGCTTTCCTAAGGTTTCTCCATCCCTAACATTCCATTATTCATAATTCCATAATTCATAATGTGCAGTAGTAGCTTTTTGTTTTCTACATGCTAGATATTTATAATGTATCAGAAAGTTGAAACTTTAATGCTAAGCAGAGCAATCCAGAATTTCATAGGATTTTATCATTAAGACCTTACCCTTTATTTCCCAGAACAGCTCTAGGTCAGAAACCTGAGACTTTCACTGAAAAGATAGGTGCATTTGTTTTTAGCTAGGTGTATATTTGGCTTCAGAGTCCCAGCACTTGCAGCTTTTGTTGTTCTCTCTCTCTCCTTTCTAAGACTTTTTTTTTTAAAATGTGGACTATTTTCAAAGTCTTTATTGAATTTGTTACAATATTGCTTCTGTTTTATGTTTTGGTTTTTTTTGGTCCTGAGGCATGTGGGATCTTACCTCCCTGACTAGGGATCAAACCCCCACCCCCTACATCTGAAGGCAAAGTCTTAACCACTAGAACACCAGGGAAGTCCCTATGTTACACTCTTTTAAAAACTTTACTCAGTTTCTACAAATGTATCCAGTTTCCACTAGCCTTCCTATCTTGATCCTCACTGCTTCATTTTTCATTCTATCACTGTTGTAGTTAAATTTTCTTCTTTGAATAAAAGACAAATGCTACTACATTAATTGGTGAACCTTTTGGAAATGCTCAATAGAAAAATTTCCTCCCTCAGTGTGTCTCCAAAGATACCAGGCTCATTTCCCAAGAATTCTGCAAGGTCTTGTTAAAAATCTAGAAAGTTTATTTCCTTGGATATGTTCCTGTGTCTCCTAGCTTGTAGTCTATGGGAACTTGAATAGAATTTGTCCTGCTGTGGTGTGAAATCTTAATTATGTTGAACTGGTTCATAGTGCTTTTAAGGTCTATGGTATCCTTCCACTTTTCTGTCCATTCATTCTACTAATATTTGAGAGTTTGATATTGAAATTCCAACTAAAAATCTTAATTTATCTACTTAAAAATAATTGTGATATATAACAGAACTGTATGTAAGTTTGTTCTGTATTTTCTGTCTCCTGTAAATGCGTTATCATACTTGAAGAAAAAAACCTAGAGATTTTTAACTACTTGTGGCATATACAAACTACTCAGATTTCATCTGGATCAAGGCCTAAGATGTTATGAAAATTGTCAGTCAAGATGACTATACCCAAAGAATTCTTGTGAATTAGCTTTGATGACAGCTGTTCTACTTTTCGGTACCCTATTGTAGCAGTTCTGGCATGTTAGCTACAGGCAGAAAGAAGGTTCTGATGTTCTCAGGAATGTAGAAATGGGGGCTCCACACTCACTGTGCCATAATTTCATAGTTTCTACCATGCACGTTTTTTTAAATCTCTTACTCTCTAGAATTCCTAGCTCAGGAATTTCCTCTTTTTCTCTCAGCAAATTTTTCTTTTTGACAGGATCCTGGCTAGTTTGTAATCCAGAAATTTTTACTGTATATTAGTTATTTTAGGCCATTGGATCAGTAATTCGGCATCTTTCATTTTCTGTTCCTCTGTTTTGCTTTTTATTTGGACCTCTGGCACTTATCTCATTCCTTCACCCCCATCCCTCTATTAGGAAGAACTTTTCCTGACATTTATTCCTTTTCCAGCCTGTTTCACCATAAATTATTAAACTCTCCCCACCGCTCACACTCCCCAGCCCTCATCCTCCAACTTCCATCCCTTCTTGTCCTTTCTGGTTCCAGAGTCATTTGTCTTTTCAGTAGCCGTACATGATAGGATAGGTTTTTTCACAAGAATTATAATATGCTGTATTGCACTTGAATTCTGGTGCTGAGAGACTGCTCCTGTCATTACATAGTGCAGCCTGCAGAGTTTCATTGCACTCAGGTAGAGAAACAAGTGCCGGTGTTACCTACTCTTGCCCATAAACATTAGGGCTGATTTTTTTTTTTTTTAGGAGAAAGCAAGCCCTATTTCCTCCTTTTCTGAAAGCCACAGTTAAATTTCATGTGGCTTTTCGCTTTCCACTTTGGGTACATTCTTCATCTCTCAACAAATGTGCTTCAGACAAACTTGCCAAAGAACACACAGCTAAGAAGATGCAAAGCCAAGACTGAACTTGAGAAAGTTAATGACTGAAAGAAAAATGCTCTTTTTCAGCACTTCCCTGATTTCGCATCAACTAAAGTGTAATGTCTCTGTGAAATCTGTTGTGACCACATTACTACAGTTAAAGGTAAAAAGTAATGGTAGTGTAATAAATGAGCTGAATACAGATCTATTCAGAAAGAGGGAATGTGTTGATATGGGACCTTTTGGAATATAATACTTTAAGTTCCATGAAAAAAAAGCCTAAATAGAGTTGCACTTTACTCAGTATGTTTGAAGTTCTAAGTAAATATGTAAACTGATTATGTTATAAATGTGTTAGGGGAGTTTCTCATTTAGGCAATCTTACAGTAAATTTTTAAGAGCAAATCATTCCTTTCTTATTTCGATTTTCAGTTTTGCTTCTGGCATACCAGGTATCATTTAAGAAGGCTATGCCTGTGAGGTTGCATGATCATTAACTAGTTTGTAATTTCTCCAACATGTATTTGAATACTGTGGTGTTTCATTGTTTCCCAAATGTTAGTATTTGCATACACTTTCACAATCTTCATTACATTGCTGCTATACAGCACCTGTATTGCTGTTTACTTACTTTTTTTCTGTGAATTGGTTCACATCTAACTCAAGTAGATTAATTTTTAAAAGAGACTTTGTATCACTACTGTAAATGTGAAATCAGCATAATTCACAATAAATAGAAATTAATAGTAAAATATTATTAGATTCTAGCTAGATACTATTCCTGTTGAAGGCTTCCATCTGAGGAGGATTAGAAAGCATTTTAATAGTGTGGAAGACACGTTCTTACCAGATTAGAGATATAACCTTGTAATCATAAGGATTGACAGAGAATTGAAAGGAAATAACTTTCTCACAAGGCAAGTCAATGTTATTTCGGGCTGTTTCTGTGTACCGTCAAAAATCCTTTTACTACCCACAAAATTCTGTAACCCCATCAAGTATTCAGAATGAGCTCAAAAACTATTCATGAAAGCAGGAAAATCTCTGATCTCTGAGAAAGTCAATATCTGCTCTCTTTTGATCTGGCCAAATTCATAAACTTGGTTCTGTTTCCAGGCTAAAGAGGAAATGATGGACAATAGAAGCTACTCTAACATGCCAGACAAACTGCCTGTCTTCACTGATTCCTCCCACTTGCCACTGACCAGGTCCTTCTATCTGGACCCCATGGTCACGTTCCACCTCTACCCAGAAGGCCCAGTGCCATCCCCTTACTCGGAAAACTTGCCATTGCTGCCTTTTTCCAGTGACTCCCTGATTATGGAAAATTATGGTGAACCCTGTGCCTTCTCCTTCCCAATGCCTTATCCAAATTACAGAAGGTGCGACTATTCCTACGGGCCAGCCTTTATCCGGAAAAGGAATGAGCGGGAAAGGCAGCGGGTGAAATGTGTCAATGAAGGCTATGCTCAGCTCCGACATCATCTGCCAGAGGAGTATTTGGAGAAACGCCTCAGCAAAGTGGAAACCCTCAGAGCTGCCATCAAGTACATTAATTACCTCCAGTCCCTGCTGTACCCTGATGAGGCTGAGACCAAGAATAATCCCAGGAAAGGTTCCTCCATAATGGCAACCACCACCCGCCACTCTGACTCCATTTTTAGAATCATTTGATTCCATGTTTCCAAATAGAAACACTTTCACAAAATCTGGTCCCCTACATTATTCAGTAGTTTCCCTAATGTCATTTTTGTGTGGGCAGATAATAGTTCAAATGCTAACAGATGCTGGATATGTTTTACTTGGATTTCAGATGTACTAAACATTATCTTATGTAGACTGAGAAAATGCTTCTTAAGCTTTGGTGATTTCTTTCAAGAACATTAGGGAATCAGGAGTCCTGAAAATTCTCTATGCCTCTCAACTTGCCCTTCTCCCACCCTTGACCAGAGTCTCAGGTGCGAGAAACTCACAAAAGTAATGTAAAGGATGATTAATGCCTAGTCAATGCACTTTGCAGATGTTTCATGCTAAGCAGCACAATGAAGCTTTCTTGATTTGTCAAAATTTGGTGAGTTTTATTACTTGGGGTTAGCAAGAAATTTACGCCTTACCCATAACATGATGGGGAAGTATTTTGGGGCTAAAGCAAAAGTAATTAACAAAACCTTGTTGTCATTTGAAATTATTTCAGAATCATCTTTGTCCTGCATGCAGCAGACATCCTCTGGTAGCTTAGTGTAGGGCCTAAGCGGGCAGGCTCTGCAGTCATATTGCTCTGTTTACATTCTGACTTTGCTGCCTCTCCCTGTGTCTTTCCAGTTCTTCATCCACAGAAAGAGTAACAGCAACTACCCCATATGTTTATTATGAGGATCACCAGCACCTGACACATAATGTTTTTATAATCATTATTTTTAAAAATTATTATTATCCTTTTTTTGTCCATAGCATCATCATTCTTCAGGTTCTCTAGGCCAGATAATGTGGGAAGGACAGTGATCCCACCTGTCTTCGAGTCTTCCTTCAAAATGTCTATTTCTATTCCCAAGATGAGCTTCAATGCTTCTGTCTTCCTTAACCCCCAGGTCCCATCTGTCACCAAGCCCAGGCAGGACTTCCAACACACTGTCACATTCATTTCCACTGTCACCTCTTTTATGAAGTCTTTCCATCACAGCCATTACTTGTTCCTTTATTTTGCACACATATTTCCTTGCCATTCCCATCCTGCTATTTTGACTCCCCTTGCACACTTGTCTCTGTCTTCAGTAGACTGTGAGCTCCTTGAAGATAAGGACAAGTCTTAGTCAGTCCTGTATTTCCAGCACCCAGAAAAGAGCTCACATCAGGTAGGTGTCAAGAAATATTTGGTGGTGTTTTTTTTCTATATCCATTCTGTCACATTGTGTCTGGATCACTGTTAACTCCCTGGCCTCTCAGGCTCTGTTCTCGACTGGTTCTATTTTCACTCTAATACTGTTTCTTAAAGTATTGTGCTGGCCAAAAAGTTTGTCTGACTTTTTCCATACGATGCTACAGAAAAAAACAAACGAATTTTTTTGCCAACCTAATATTTCATGTCACTTCACTGCTCAAACCTCATGACAACTGCCTTTTGACTATGACATTGTTGGACATTCATCTGCTTGATTTTCAAAGCTCCCACCAGTTTGGCCCCTTCCCATTGATTTTCCCATGACACTCCATTCCCCCCCCCCCAAAAGAAAATCACGTGTTGCAAATGCATCCTTCTCTCTTAGCTCTTGCTTCCTACCAAGATGGAATGGAATAATCTTTCTCCTTTCACCATTGAAATCCCACCTATCTTATTCAGGAATCCTTCTCTCATAGCCAGGGATCTAATTAGTCTTTCTTAGACTCTAACTTTGTGTACCAAATCACTCAGCCTTTTGAGCAACAGTCATTCTCCTGGCTGCAAAGTTAAGCTCTGTGAGGGTAGACATCAGTTAGGATGCTTTTGGCTGTGAGCAATACAAAATCTAACAAAAATTGGTATAATAAAAAAAGGGAGGATTTCCCTTTGCACTCCCACTGCAAGGGGTACAGGTTCAGACAAGGTTCAACACTGTCACCAAGAATCTGTGTTCTTTAGATCTATCCTCTCTGGGAACAGCTTCAGTGTCCCAAAAAGACTGTCAGGAGCTCCCAGAACTATAAGCTTTCTTATTCATGTATAGGAAGAAAGATAAATTCTATAACCAAGATTTCTAACAAAAGTCTTGAGATTCATGCTGACTGGAGAGGCAGGGGACATGCTGATACCTTAGAGGACAGGGGATGGAATGTGCTGATGGACACACATCAACAAGGGGTACACTCAGATTCACAACAGAAACAGGAACTGGTGGAAGGGGGGAATAGATGTGGTAGAGACACTCACAGATGTGCAATATGGCTGTCAGATGCCTTAAATACCAGCCTCCTCTGGATGTTCAAATGAAAGCGGAATCTGGACTTCTGTTCCTTTGGTCCCCGGTGTCCACTCCCACCACCCTAAGTTATCACCACACACCTGCTTCTCAGCAGTCCTGTGTCCTTCAGACAAACGTGCTCACGCTTTTGGTTATTTCATTTTAAACTACAAATTCTATCTTAGAGTCCTTAAGCCAACCAGTGGGTTCCCTCCACTCCAGCCTCCTGCCCACAGAGGAGGAAGGCAGATCAACAGCCTTGAGACTCTGTGGGGTCAGCCCCCTCCCTCCCAAGACTCTCCTAGATCCAGGAGGGCTTCCCACCGCCACTGACTCTTCAGCTGTGGAGAAGCTTAGCTTCTGGGAACTGATGCTACACTGGCCCTTCTCCTCAACACCACCTGTCAACACCACTCTCCAGAAAGGCGGTGAATAACCAACCCCCCACCCTCCCTTCCCGCCCATGCTGCCCAAGGCCCCAGTCTCCCCTCCGCACATGCTCAGTGCACTCCCTCTGGCCCAGCTGGCTGTATCCATGGCAACCTGCTTGGCAACCAGGAGTCGGTTGGGCTGAGGCCGTGAACTCCCAACTGTCGGAAGGGACCCAGGCTGAGGTGGAGGAGTCTGGCTGGGGCTGTGGTAAGTACTCTTGGGGTCAGAACCGTGGGCTTGGGCAGTAGCACACCCAACAGGGCCGAGCTGGGCTGGGCCCAGGGTGGCAGCTGTCGCCTCTGAGCACATCTACGGAGGCCACCGCCCTGGGCTCTCAGCTCGGCCGAGTCAGTCCCCCAGGTGACCAGGTTAGGAGGGAAGTCTGTGGCTTGGGTTAGGGGTCAGTTTGTCATCAAGGGCTGGGATTTGTAAAAGGAAGTATGGTTTTAAAGCCCCGAAGTCTCTACAACTGGTGTGGAGGAGGGGGGGGGGTGTTTAAAAAAACTAACGTATATTGATTGAGCTACTTAAAGATTCCAGGTGCTTTCCACAGATCATCTCCAGGGCGTTAACTGACACACCCAGGTGAAGTGAGCACGCAGCCAGCAGGCGGTGGACTGCCAGCTGGGTTTCTGGGAAATCACAGCTCTTGCTCTTTCAACCCCTCCCCTATTTCCTGGCAGGTGATGATTCTGGGGACACTCTGCGCGTGGTGGGAGCGGGTGGGGACGCGGAGAGCCCGCAAACAGCAGAGCTGAGCGCAGCCGCGAACCAGGCGCCCTCTGCTGGGCTGTGGGCTGCAGCTCAGGTAATAGAGCCGCTGGTTCTCAGGTTTCGCCGAGGTCTATGGACTCCTCCGCGGGGCCTGGGACGCCTTTGCCCAAATACTGCAGCGTGGCCACGACCCTGAAGGCCCCTGCCTGGGCGGGCACCGCTCTTCCCTGGGACCTCTCCTTCACCTGCCCCCTCGCCTGCCGAGCACCCTGGCTGACCCGGCACAGCCTCCTCACCAGGTACCCATCTGTGCTTCTTTTTTCCTCTCTGTTCTTGGCTCAAGATTGTGGGAGACATGATGGTCCAGGAGAGAGAGGACTTGCTTCCTGGGAAGGCCGAAAGGGTCCCTTACCCGTGTGCGCTGAGTTCCTTGGGTTATTATAATCGCCCCAACTGTACTCACGATAAATAAATACAAAGAGACTTGCCTGGAGGTGCAGTGTTTAGGACTCCAGGATTCCACTGCAGGGAACACGGGTTCGATCCGTGATTAGGGAACTAAGATCCTGCATGCCTCCATGTGCAGCCAAAATATAAATAAATAAAAATAAACTCTACCCCCAGCGACAAGGGTTGACATGGCTTTTGTCCCACTTTGTAGCAGAGGGGCTGATGTCAGAGTTGGCAGGTGTGGGAGAAGGCAGGCATCACCAGTTATAAAACTTCTGGCTCATTTTATCATCTTCTCTGAGACTTTCCCTGGCCCTATATGAGGAATTAGGTGAGGTGAGGTCTCCAGATCCCTCCTCAGGTTCCCCCAGTTGTCCTAGCTTTTTGTGAATGGTACTCAAAATTAGCTGTCTACAGTGAGAATACAAGAGGAGAAGGGAAGCTCAGCTCATAGGCACACACAAATTGTGCAAGTCCCATGCTATTCAAGTCAGTCTGCCCAGGCTTGAACCCTACAGCCCCCTTTCTTGTTTCACCCATGTGGACCATTTCCCTTCAAAGCCAGAGTTTAAACAGTCCTGTATCCTGGCTTGCCCACAAAAAATAAACACTTTTTTTTTTTCCCCCTGGAAAACCAAAACCTGACTTAACAATTCCCTATGGCTTGGTTTTGTCTACCAGAGTCCCCAGAGCCAGCTTCTCCTTTTCTTTGTCCCTCAGCCTCTTACTCAGCCCTGTGCTTCCCCTGCTCAGATACTTCTTCCTCTCTTCCGACTCCATGGTGCTCAGCCTCCTTGCAGTTTTGCTCCTTTGTCATCACCATCCAGGCCTCCACACCTCATCCTGGAATCCCGCACACCGCCTCAGGATCTCCCTTCCTGGAAGAAGGCATTCCTGGCCTGCTATCTAGTATCAGAACCAGTGAATCTGGCCATCCCGTTATATATCAAGGCTAATCCCATTCTGATTACCTTGAAACAATTCCCAGGCCTTAAACAGCGATTCCCTTCACTCTCCTCTCCTTCTTTCTCTCCCAACAATTTACCTTATCTTACTGGAAGTCACAGATTGCCGCTCTTTACAGGGGCTCCTGTTCCATATCACCTTAACTGTCATGTTCTCCCCATGGTTCTGCTCAGACCTAACTTTGAAATGTGTTTCTTGATGGTTTTAGGGCTCGCTTTTCTCTACTTCCCTAATTCCATTTGCTTTTCCCCAGATACGCATCTTACTACCCGTGTCTCGACATTGCTGACCCAGCATGGCAGGGGCCTGGCTGGCTGGGAAGAGTTGGAGAAGCTGCTGACACATGGGTCCTGGCAAGAAGGGAACCAGATGGCTTTTATTACAGGGCTCAGATAAAGTCTGCTCCAGAGGCAAGTCCCTCAGTCCCATGTCTCCCTGTATGCTCCTCTGGGTGGCCCTGTCATACCCGATGTGCCTCAGCTGTTCAGTTTCTTAAATAAGCACAGATCTTCCATGGCCAGGATGTGGAAGTGAAAATGTAATGTCAGTGAGCACATCAGTTTGCTAGGGCTGCATAACAAAGTGGCACAAACTGAGTGGCTTTAACACTAGAAATTGATTCTTTCAGTTCTGGAGAGAACCAGGTGTGGTGATTCTGAGGGCTCTGGGGGAGGATCTGTTCTGTGCCCCTCTCCCAGCTTCTGGTGGTTTGCTGGCAATCTTTGATGCCCCTTGGCTTGTAGAAGCATCCCCCCGCACTTGGTCTTCATCTTCACTCGCTGTTCTCCCTGGGCTCACGTCTGTGTTCAAATTTCCCCTCTTTATAAGGACACCAGTCATTGGATTAGGGGCCCACTCTACTCAGTCATACTCAGTGTGACTTTGTCTTAAGTCATTAAGACTTAAGGGTGACACATTTTGAGGTCCTAGGGGCTCGGACATCAACATGAGTTTTGTGGGGGGGACATAATTCAACCCATAACAGTGAAGAAAATGTACAGTAAAAGCACTTTGTTCAGGAAGATTCGATGTGTGGAGTTAGAAGCACCAGCCTAAGGGAAAGAGGAACCTCGCGTGCGCCTGTGTCCTTCCTCATGGGGGCACGGTCCCTGTGTGCTGGGGCCAAGCCTGGGCTTTACTTTGGTGACTGCTTGCTTCACTGGAACTTCTCTCTTTCTTTTCAGAGTCAGACTTTGTGAATGTGGGTCCATAGAGGGAAAACTAGTGTGATTTATAAAAAAAATATATGTTATAGAATTTCCAATCAAAAGTCATTTTGTCATTTTCCAGTCACTA